CTCACTTGTGTGTTGATTTTCTCCATGTGTCTATCTCAACTACTACTTTGTATTATACTCCTGAACAAACTCTTAGTCTTCCATGATTGATATATGATACCCTGGAATGAGTAAACAACTGAATCACTGGGATATAAAAACTTTTACTCATCTAAACTATGTCTTATCATCATTTGTTTTGTCACTTCTATTTTTTTCTTGTTAATAATTAGGTTGCCATTACAGATCAACAAGCACCTGATAAAGGGCACATTGTGATAGCAACAACAAAGCAGTTACTATCTGAATTTCTGAGATGAGGAATTATTATTATTTGCATTATTTACATCTACACTATTATGCTTATCTTTGTTGTTGTTCCTATCACAATGGAAGAGTTTCAAGGAAGACATTTTTATTTATTTCTTTATGGACATGACAAAATGACAGTATAATTAATTTTTTATTTATGTATTCCTTTATGAACATAACAGAGTGTTTATCATCCCACTACCACCTTTTTATCAATATCAATTTTCATACAAAAAGTGGATCACAGAGCTTATTCAGCTTAATGTATATTTTCAGAAAATCTCAACTTCTAATTGGTCACTTAAAACATCAACCTAGTTCTTGACCTGACCAAAAAGATAATTCCGCCAAAATCTATCAAACTTCTGTGAGCCTATCATGTGACAAAAGTTAACAATAAAATATGAAACGTCTTTCATCTTCGACAGTGCATCAATCAGAATCCTTTGAACTCGTTATGCAGTTCCAGGCTTTACGTTAAAGTTCCTTAACATGATTCCAGCCGGAGAGAACACTCATTCACACAGCAATATTTTATGATGAACAATCAGCTCAAGTTTTCCACATTCAATTTAATACACAAATCTTTTTCATACACTTTCAAGCTCAACATTAATTATTGCAATTGACATAAACACAGCTTGTTAAGAACTACTTACCCCAACTAGAATATTCTCTTCAAACAAGTGAAAACAAATCAAAGCGAAACAATTCCATAAATCTTAAAGTAAGTCGTAAACAATATTTCTCATTTCAAATACAAACTTGAACTGTTTATTTTTTTCTTAAATTACTATAATACCCAAACACACTTTCTCATTATTGTACAGACCATTCAACAAATTATAATCTATCAAACCAGAACTTTGACAACCTTTCATCTAAACATAAAAGGACGTTTGAACTTTTTAAAACCTCTTTACTCCAGTTTAATTCTGGGAAATAAAATAATAGACGTGTAAATTAAAAATGACTAATGAAGGGGAGAAGAAAAAAAAAATCAAGTAAAACTAGAGACCAATAATATTCAGACCCAACAAACAATCCGTCTGTTTACAGAGGGAAGGCTTGCAGGACCTTGAGATGATCTAAAGAGTGGAACATTGATAAAATAGAGAAACGGTCCACACTAAAGTCAGTAATACAAATCCTGCTATTAATAATATGTTGTGCAATAGATGATCCGGATGTATTAACGAGTTGACTATTGCTAGCAGCCGGATTCAAACCAACAAAACCGGTTGTATTTTTTAGCTATCAAATTTACACTGATATGCCTTTTAAATTATGCTTATTCCTTGCTATTATTAAGTTCTGTATAACAAAAACTTGTTTTTTTTTATATATATATATATATATATATATATATATATATATATATATATATAAACACATAAATATATATAAAATAAATATATAAAAAACTTACATAAAAACTCCCATACATATAAAATATATAAATAAAAAAAACTTTTTTTTTTAAATATTGTCTGGATAAATTTAAACCATTTAAAATTTTGGTCCAATGAGACAGGTATTAATAAATTATCTACCAAAATAAATTATAATTTATAACTGAGTTTTTGATGATGCATTAAGTTCTTCCTTTGATATTGCTCTGTATACTATACACTGAGCTCTCCTCATGGATCTATCTTTTTAATATCTTATATTAAAAATACCTACTTGGATTATCCTTTCCACTTACAGATTTGATATATATATATATATATATATATATATATATATATATGGCATCTTTCTCCATATACCGAAGTGTGTATAAAAACAAAATATCCTGCAAAAAATTCAGTGTGATGGTTGTAAATGATGTCACCTTTAAGTGATTTGAAATTGGCTCCAGGAAACAAAAGAATGCAGAATTAGTCACAGTTTCACAAACAAAATAAACATGTAATTCTTGATAACAACTGCGGTGACTGTTGAAAATAATTCGATTGGAAAAGAAGAACTTTGGAAAATTTAACAATTTTATTTCTGACATAAAACAATTTACTTGGAAGTTAGAATATCTTAATAAGAAATTGGACAGACTTTGTCAGTATTGTCTAGCAAAATTTGTTTAAAAGAATTATTGCTGTCTAAATATACTTTTCATATATATATATATATATATATATATGTCCTAATCAATGACATAGCACAAATAGAATAGGTCCAGATCACTACTCCAAATTTTTCAGAATGTGAGTGTCAGACGACAAGAATCTAAATCTAATTAGATTTTTGTTGTCTGATGTTCATGTTGCAAGAACGTGATGGTCATTGATAGTTTTGCTAGCACAAATCCACAAGTCATCATGACCGAGGGTTTGAGTGTGCTGGCCTTATTTAGACTGTTCATTACACTAGATAACGTGCTCTCTCCCAGAAACTGTAATTAAGGTCTGCTCAGAATAGTTGCAGTATAAACTACACATAGATTCTGTGGATGTTGAACAAGCACAAATGTGCCTGAGCAGGCTTCCTCAACAGGGATTGGCTAGCCAAGCTAGTATATATGAGTGGCCTGCCATTTTTATTTATATATATTCGAGAGTGAGCAATTTACTAAGCTTAGTGTAGCTTTTTTACTCTAGGGCATATTTACAGGATAAAAATTTACTTGCACCTCACCAAATTTTATGTGATTAAAAGTACATTTAGAAATAAAAATCTGAAAGAGGGTTAAAGGGAGACAACTACAGATTCGAAGTCAGAAAATAATCATTGATAACTTTCTCCTCCAATTTGCAGAGCCTAGTTAATATATTCTTAATATCACAATGATAATATCATTCAATAATTATTTATAACTATTTATACTGGGATTCATGTATGCAATTACAAGTAATCCATAATAATATTTTAAATTTTGAAACCATATTTATTTTTGGCATATGAATTTTTGAAACTGTTTCTAAATCTTTGATTGTCTTTCAATCATTTCGCCTCACCTGCTATCCTCTTCCACCACACCTGCTATCCTCTTCTGCCTCACCTGCTATCCTCTTCTGCCTCACCTGCTATCCTCTTCCGCCTCACCTGCTATCCTCTTCCGCCTCACCTGCTATCCTCTTCCACCACACCTGCTATCCTCTTCTGTCACACCTGCTATCCTCTTCCGCCTCACCTGCTATCCTCTTCCGCCACACCTGCTATCCTCTTCTGCCACACCTGCTATCCTCTTCCGCCACACCTGCTATCCTCTTCCGCCTCACCTGCTATCCTCTTCCGCCACACCTGCTATCCTCTTCCACCTCACCTGCTATACTCTTCTGCCACACCTGCTATCCTCTTCCGCCTCACCTGCTATCCTCTTCTGCCTCACCTGCTATCCTCTTCCGCCTCACCTGCTACCCTATTCTGCTTCACCTGCTATCCTCTTCCGCCACACCTATAAGGCATACCACACCATTTAGGAACCACTGGTCTAATCTAAAGGGTAAAATAATGGATGGAATAGACAAGCAGATGTTAAATTGTTATTGTTAAAGTTATAAACTACCAAATGAGATTATTAATGATCATTTTAATATAGTTTACTTTGAGTAAATAGTGGTATGTATTATGAAAACTAGGTTTATTATAAATTACTAGAATATCTAAAGAGAATTTAAATAAATATCATTTTAGAGTGCCATACATTGGCTTAAACATTGAGGACACAAGTTTTTAAACAAACATTCACTTGTTTTTATCATTCATCATTTTTCCCTCAGATTAATTTGAAAATGTCTCTGATTTAATGATAACACAGAAAAGATTTGGCCATTTCTAACACAGGAAATTATTTTCCTCACATCTCTTAAGGAAGTTGACCATGAGACTCCTTAGGTTACTTGAGACACAGAGGTGAGGATCTGTGCCTTTATAAGCCAATTGCACCAACCTCATTTCAAGTAGAAGCTAAAAATGAAAATGAGGCTAAGAGGAAATTGAGGAAATCCTGGGGACCAACAGTCTGCATTGGAACTTTGAGATATTTTACTGAACACAAGAAATAAAGCCGCCAGTCAATAAAATAAACCTACTTTCCTCAAAAGTATTAAAACTTATATGTAAAATTTTAAAACGGTGGTGAAGAATAGTTTTTCTAGAATTTCTCTATGAAAACTATAAGAATTTTTTCTATATAATTTTGCTCAAAGATAACATTACATTATTGTAGAAAACATAATGGTGACATAGTGGTAAGAATGAAGAAAATAAGACAATTTATAAGTAAATCAGTAAATATTTATTTATCATATTTATCATATTTTTTTTATACAAAGTGTTGCCATATTTGCCATTATACCGGGTGTCAGAGCAAAATTGTCTAAGTCATGTAACAGCAGGAGATAATTGTCCATCCTACAAAATATTTAATATCTAAAAATCCACTAAACTAACTGAGTTTCTTTTTCCAAGGTTTTCTGGTTGTGTGGACCGTGCAGAAATATCACTATGACGCTCCAGTGGGTTGTGTCAGAGCCAACAAGACAGAAATTATTTTCAGATTGTAAGAATTTCTTTTGGAGATAATAATGGTTTTGTGATACAAGTTTTACTAATTAACCCATAGCTGAGGGGAGACGTTATAGATTCATACTTTTCCCAAGAGTATTTGTGCATATGTAAATATAACGAATCCAAAGGCAACTGGAACTTGGCTCTCCAATTAATAATTCTGAGCCTTTATCCATTACATCATCTGCACATTCAAGCTTACAGCACCTGATATTCCCAAGTAGTCACTCATCTAGGTACTGACCAGGCTCAATATTGCTTAACTTCAGTGATCTTGTGGAAGCCAGTATTTCAACATTATGTGACTGCAAGACTCCTAAAAACAAAAGAAAATGACTTAATGTTCTTATATGCTAAGTTAAAGCTACCTTAAAGATCTCCTCTTGGCATCAAGGTCAAAGACAAGACTACACGCAACCAACCCTCAAAGACCTCAATGTTGGAACAAGAGAATGATGATTACAACAGATTTCAATGGTTGAACCAGTGGATGAAGTTGGCTACACTTGATGGACATGTTACAGAAGGCGCCACTCTAATATATAAGTCAGTGGCAGTCTGCTGCTGTTTATAACTAGATTTTGCATGTCTCATTCCACATACTCTGTAGAGGAAGTTCATGAAATCAAGTGTGTGCATTACTCCCTGACAAGTTGATGTCAACCTTAAACAAATTCACATCAACACTTACTTCTATTCTGATTTTCTTTCACCTCCAAGCAACACTTACAATGCTAAACACTGATAGGGAATGGATGACGGCAACAGGTTTTGGTAAAACTTGATGCTTCTAGTCCTAAACCTGCACATTGGAGGAAAATTTAGTCATAACGCCATCATCATAAAGGAAGCAATCAGTAAAGGATAAATTAAATTTTTGGGTACGAGTTAAAGCCAACAATGACAATAGTATAGACTAGAATTTCCCAAGCTTTTTTTGGTTGCCAGGCACTTGCATGCCAAAACACAACCCTAACATCCTCCAAATGTCTAGTCAACTTTTGATTGGATTTTCTTGGTGCTAGTATTGCATGTCAAATTAGCATCTTAGTATTTCCTTTAGTAAATGTTATATAAATGAGATACACTGTCAAGTAAAGGCAAAACACACTTAATGTACAATGGCTGTGTGCGGTGTATATCAGTGTTCAGATGTAACACTACAACCCTCTGGCTTACTTACTTCTTACTTGTACTTGATGCAGCATTCACCCTGGGCGGATTGAGCCGGCTTCTTCCTGTTGTGAGAAGAAGATTCTTAGGATAAATTACAGAAGTAGGGTACCCAGGCCTACTCGGATAACGTTCTTGCTTGCCGTGGGGTTCCCACAGACGCAGAGACAGAAACGACCAGAAGCCGCCGGTTGCCGATGCAGACGCTCCTTGGATTTTCACCAGAGCCCTTGTTAGCCGGCGTGTGTGTCAGACCTGTCCGCCTTGGGTGGCCCTACCAGGAACGAAGTTACGGACGGCATAGCTCTGACACTACCGTTTTACACCCCCCCCCCACCGACTGTGAGGTAAGGGTTGGACTTTGGACTTTGGGGGCTTACAGTACCAGGTGTTCCCAAGCGGTCCCCCATCTAAGTACTGACCTGGCTCTACGATGCTTAACTTCGGTGATCAAATGAGAACCGGTGTTTTCAGCGTGATTTGACCGTAAGCAACCCTCTGGCTGCCCACTTTTTTCTCACTATCCCCTTGTATCTTTCCCCCACCCCAAGGGAAACAGTACCATCTACTTTTGAAATCACTGCTATAGACTATAAATCTACTTCAGCACTTCTAAATACAATTTGAATTTAAGTTTGTTAGGATATGTTACTTTAACAGTTTCTTTTGAGTAACAATAATTTTACAGATACAAGTCCTACTGTTTAACCCATACATGTGGGGAGAAGAGATGGATTCATATCTTTTTTATGGGTACTTGCACAAAAGTGAATGGAACAAACTCAACTGAAATTTTAACTTGGCTTTCTGATTTATCATTCTAAGGTACTATCTATTGCCTCACCTACACATCTCCACTTTTACCTAGATCTACTCAATAATAATACTATTAAGTCAAATGATAATTCTATTATTATTATTATTAAGAAGTGAGAGATGTCCTAACTAATAAAGTGACCCTGGGATACAAGTACACAAAGCTCAATGTACTCAGTCTGATAAAGGTATACCAGGTACATGCATCACAGCCAAATGTAATGTCCCCTCTGCACTTACTCATGAGTTATGGCCAAATAACAGATAAGTAAATCTGTAGTACCAAAAGGTATATTCACCATAGCATGTTTTAATTCACCAAGACTAAACATACACATATTAACATCTGCAATCAATAAATATTAGAGAGTCATGCTTGGTGTAGGATTAGTACATTTTATTATTATTATTATTATTATTATTATTATTGAGTTAGAGCAGTACACCAACAAAATGATACTGAATTTGTCAGTTAAATTTTAAAAAATTTGTTTAAATATATATTTTGAGGAATGGATTTTGTATTCATTAATCTGTCATATTTTAATTTATTGTTTTAATAAATTACTATTTTTAATGGATATTTGAGCAGATGTCAGATTAATAAATGAAAACTCCATTTCTAAAAATTACTTTTGTTAGGATATGAAACTGAGCAGATATGAATATTTCAAGATATGGGAAAAAATCTGTATTCAATATATTATTATATTTGGGCTTTTTTTTGACAAGGAGTTTCTTCATTGCTGAAAGGTCAAGGCATGTCAGATCTAATGACAGTTTCCTCTAGGGATGCAGGTTTCATTCCTGCCAGAGAGCACATATATATATATATTTTAACAAGATTCCTCAAATATTTAGGCTGCCATATTGAAATAAATAAATATACTGTTTAATAAATTAATAAAAAACAGAGCATCTACTCAAATATGGATATCCAATAAAAATAATGTTTAAGCAATAAATTTATATTATATATATATATATATATATATATATATATATATATATATATATAAAACAAATTTTATTAAATACAACTTGGAAATATTAATAAAAATTGTATATATATATATCTATCCAAATGTAAAAGAATGTAGAATAAAATTTCAATGTTCAATGTTCAAAATATTAATTTAAAATGGGGCTCAATACAAAAGTAGAGCAATAAATATTTATTATGCACTGTTATATTAGAACATGTTCTAATTTAACTGAATATATATATATATATATATATATATATATATATATATATATGTATGGTATCTTTCTCTATATATTGAAGTGTATATAAAAAAAATATCCTGTAAAAATTCAGTGTGATGGTTGTAAATGAAGTCACCTTTAAATGACTTGAAATTGGTTACAGTAAAACAAAATAATGTCACAATTTCATAAACAGACTAAGCATTTATTTTCATCTACCGGCTTATGTTCACTAGAACTTATTAATAAAAAATTCTTCTTGCTGAAAAGCATAAATTTTTCTTTACTAACATTTGTCAAACATACAGGCTGGTAGATAAGAATAAATAAATAAATATATTGTTTAATAAATAAACAGACCATCTACTCAAATATGAGTATCCACTAATAATAATGTTTAATGACTTTAATATATGATATATTATATATATATATATATATATATATATATACATATATATAAAAGTGGGCATTGAAGTCAACACCTATAGGTGACAGTCTGTTTCATACTAAATCTAATCATCAGGCCTGATGGGTGCCAATCTTAATGTTCACTTTTATATTTATATATGCTCTATCCCTGATATTGAGCACTTTAGCCTACAAATATACCTTTAAACTATGTATATATATATATATATATATATATATATATATATATATATAATTTATTTAAAAATGAAAACATAAATATGTTATAAAATCACTACAAAAATAGCCATTTTGTTTCAAATCTTCTAGTGTCTTATCAATTGATGGTGTTGAATGTAGAATAAAGGGTTTTAAAAGGTTCAAATCGACCAAACACCTGTCGATAGGGGAAACACTGTTACATAACCTGCAATGACCAATCAAAATACAAGTATATGAGAATTCAAAAAACTTGACAATATATTAATTATTAATGCCTTAAATGTTAGAGTCAGACTAAAATAGAAATCATTCTAACTAATTAATATTAAATTATACTATAAAATTGAAAATTAAAAATTACCAATTTTAGATTTAATCTGTATTAAGTTTAAAATATTATAAAATTATTTTAAAAAGAAACTGAGAAAAAAATACATATATTTTATTATTTATTTTGTTTTAATTGAAAAGCCAAAAACTCACTTAGAATAAATGTTAAACTAATGAGCATGTAAAACATTGTCACAACTTATATACATTTGAAGTGTTGATATGAGCAGAGGAGGATGAAATCTTATAAAAGACAATACATAAACAATGAGATAATAATAACCAAATACATAGACATATTCATATATATAAACATCCAAAAACAGGTACAAAACAGGAAATAGATGTCCACAACCCTCCCCAACAAAAAAAAAATATATAAAATCAGACAACATATACATATGATGAAAGGCATATATAAGCAATCAAACACATGTACATTCATAAAGACATAAACATATACACACCCACAAAGATTCAAGTTTCAAAGTGTTAGTAAACAAATACAAACAGACTATTAAAATATTACTTACATGGGCAAAGATATATAAATAAAAAGAGGGTTCAATAGATAAAATTTAAGAGGGGTAGATTAGGAAAAGAAATATTCGGCAATGAACAATGCAAAGAAGAAAGAGAAATATATACAAATGGACAGAAAAATAAATATATACATACGCATACACACACATAAAAAAAACACCAAATTCAAATGTCCAGGCAAAATGCAAAACTTAAAATAAAACCTGCTAATATATAAAAAAAGAAAACTCATTAACACACAAAAATATACAAATACATCATATATACTTATATGTTCATGAGTACACATACACGAGTACAAACATATAACAATATATATGAGTATATACATACATATATGTACACACATGCATCCATACAAATAGATACATACATAAATATATATATACACATATATACATGCATATAGAAATAAATAGAAATAAATAGAAATAAATAGAAATATATCAAACTACACTGCAACATAAAAAAAACACCAAAATAAGCCAACACAATGGCATACAAGTGCAGATAGAAAATTCTGAGTAAATACACCCATATAAAAATAAGTAGAAACAAACAAACTAAAAAAAATACTAACAATATTATCAAAA